AACATTCAATAACATGGTATCGTCGGAACAGTACAAATCGCAAATTGATTAAAAGTATTATATGTAAAAGTACATACAAATCTAATATTCTGGGCTAAAACATCACCAAATGAAACACTCACGTTGGAAAGCGTCAACATTTGACCAAACGAAACCATCAAATTAAAACGTGTGACCACTACACCAACATTTAGCCATCACATTGGGAAGTTTGACCACTACATCAAATATAAAAGTCAAATTGGAAAGTTTGACCACTACACCAAATATAACCATTACAATTGAAAGTTTGACCATTACATCAAATATGACTATAACAATGGAAAGTTTGACCATTACATCAAATATTACTATTACAATGGAAAGTTTGACCATTACATCAAATATAACTATTACAATGGAATGTTTGACAATTATATCAAATATAACTATTACAATGGAATGTTTGACCATAACATCAAATATAACTATTACAATGGAATGTATGACCATTACATCAAATATAACTATTACAATGAAAAGTTTGACCATTACACCACATATAACTATTACAATGGAATGTTTGACCATTACATCAAATATAACTATTACAATGGAAAGTTTGACCATTACATCTAATATAACTATTACAATGGAAAGTTTGACCATTGCATCAAATATAACTATTACAATGGAATGTTTGACCATTACATCAAATATAACTATTACAATGGAAAGTTTGACCATTACATCAAATATAACTATTACAATGGAATGTTTGACCAATACATCAAATATAACTATTACAATGGAAAGTTTGACCATTGCATCAAATATAACTATTACAATGGAAAGGTTGACCATTGCATCAAATATAAGTATTACAATGGAAAGTTTGATCATTACATCAAATATAACTATTGCAATGGAAAGTTTGACCATTACATCTAATATAACTATTACAATGGAATGTTTGACCATTACAACAAATATAACTACCACATAATGTCCGATGTACTTATTATGTAGGCAATATCTGTATATTTTCAAACAATACAAACAATAAAATTTAATTTGTATGTAATTTACTACATATGTTATATATTTTAAACATCCGAAGTCATTGGTAACGGTCAGATGCGTGGTGTTATACCATTTCAATGAAGTATTTAAGTGTGTCGGTTGAAATAACGCAGTCAATCAGACACACTCGGTGTTTCCTTTTAGGGGATGTGATTTTAGATTCTGCTGAAGTGGGTTTAACTTTTCCTGTTTTGCTTATCTTATTTACGTCCTGTTTATTTTCTATCTGAGTCTTCGGTCCTCCATAGATATCTATAACTTCAATCATGTCATGTGACAATTAGTTTTATGCACTCGTGTTTATACTCCTACACATGTACATTTCTGTATACTGCTGCACAATGAACGGAAACGTGTGATAAGTACATTGCAATATATATAACTATTAACAATGACTATTGAGTTATGAATTATGTATATTGAAATAAATTGGCGTGACCTGTTACACACATTACAGATGTAAAAATGAAAGAAATATGTGATACACCTGTATTCAAAATCTTTCATTTTCAGACATAACAAATATGCGAAAAAAATCTTCTTCTTTTTTTTTTTTTTTTTTAAATATGTATAATTTTACCTACAAAATTGACACGAAAGCTCTCTAGAGAAAATAAGGCTAGTTATTTTTTTTAGTATAAACAGCCTAAGCCCCTTAATTAATTAATATTGAGACAGGTGTTATTCATCTAAATTAGTGAACTTGAGGTTAAGTACCGGTATCCTAGAAGTTGAATCATAGCTTATTCCAGAATATGTGTGCATACAAAATAATGTGTAAAAGAATTGATCGAAGGGTATTTTGTATATGCAATGGACAGTAATACGGAAGATATACATTTCATTTCTCAACAAACGCTGCGCTGTATTGTGATAATACATATGATACTATCAAATTCGTACTACTGGTCAAAGAATCAGTGTATGATAATGTATATCCAGGAATGGTGACCGGATATTTAAGACGACAACATATCTTTATTCTTATAATATGAGCTACCATTTCCTAATAAAAGGCGAATGGCGATATACACATATCGTTGTTAATCAATTTCGACCTTCGTTTTGTATATAAATATATATATTGAGGGGGGATAGATGTCAGTAATCAAGATGAAATGTAATGAGGATGAAATCGTGAGAGTTCTTCAATTCCTGATCGACGGTATTTCTAGCAGACTGTTGGTATTCCCATTTCATATAAAACAAAATGAATTAAGGAAATTTTCAGGACAGATAAAAAGAAACCTTGTCAGTTCCTTAATTTTATTTTCATACATAACGAAGATGTGCAGTCTTTAAACAAATAACGATTCGATCGTGAAGGTTTCTTTTCTTGACAGCTTCATCCCTGCTTCCCTCACCTAGTTTGAAGCCCAGCTGCGTAATCTCAGACCTACTTACAGCAACATATTGAAGACGACGGTTAAGTTTTATGGCCCTTACCTCGGAATCCGAAAGTCTAACCTTTTTTAAATTTGAGATGGTTATACAAGGTGATATGTACAAGTGCAATAGGGATTTAAAAAGTGCTTAAGGTTGAGGTCAAGATTAGTTTCTAAATATAGATCATGGGGGTACGTTCATTATCTTGGAATCCAAATGTTCTTCTTAAAATGTTACATGGTGATACACTGTAATATGTAGATGTGCATTAGGGGTTTAATTCGTTCGTAAGGTCAAGGTCACTGTTACTAAAATAGCCCGGGTGGTTGTGCCTTATCTCGGAATCAAAAAGTCTCATCTTTCTGAAATTTTACATTGTGATACAATGTGATGTTTAAATGTACACTAGGCAGGCATTTAAACATTTGCAAAGGTCAATGTCAGGGGGGGGGGGGTTACAGTCCTTAGTTCGGACAGACATTTTACACATTTGTCATGGTGATACACTGTGATATGCAGATGTGCAATAGGGGTTTTAAAAGTTTTTAAGGTCAAGGTAATTGTTACTTAAAAAAATCAGATTCTGTGCTCAAATACAGTTTCATGTTAAGTGTAAGAAGTGATCAATCCATAAAAAGTCACATTTTATCAATAATTTGGAAGCATTGTGGTTTGGAAGAAATGTGGAGAGATGTACATGCACAGCCATATTCCGTTTTCAATATTTCCATTGGACTATTTTATTTTGACACACATTAACTGTGTGACACAAGTTGCTAATTAAATTGTGAATCGAAAGGCTTCAAGACCGCCGGAACGCCACGGTATAATCTTTGCACAAAGGATGTACGCCTCGAGTAGATCGTATACTGTATTATCTCGAAAAACATCTTTCGATTTGATTTAATCCTAACAGAGATAAATAATGAATACAAAAAACATTCTTCGATAAAGAAATATTAATTATCATTTAACTTAATTGATTTTTTTGTGCATGTTGTCAAAAATATTTCATAAAAAAGACAGGTCCATTTTATTGCATGCGAACCCGATGATCTAATGACCAGAACCACACGAATCTCACGGACCAACGGTCCGTTAATGAAAGAACGGACAACACAAGCATTTACTTAAGAGTCGGATAGAGAACTTTGACAAATTATAAGGCCAAGAAAGATATGTAACTTATTTCGTGCATCATGACTTGGTTCAGACCACGTGCTTCACAAAAACACTAGAAATCGGGAATGGTGATCCCCACCCCCGAAACAGACCTGGATCCGCCCCTGTAATAGGTACATATTGGATCATTTTTACACAAGTTAAACAGTTCCACGCAAAGCGAATGTTATCCTAAACCTATCTACCTTTTTTCACAAAGCGAGTGATTTCCAGACAAGTTCTGAAAATCATTGATTCATCTTATGTAAAATTAAATAATTTTAAAGAACTCAATGAGTCAAATTGTTTGATTATTTGACTCGTGACTCGCAGGTACATAAAACACTGCCTTAATCATGTTTTTAATGATCCGTCAGTGGTATTTTCAGACGTTGGTAAAAATTGATGAGAAGTTCGAAAGGTTTACAAGATCGAGTATATGTATAGCGCTTTTGTCTCATTGATTAATTTGAATTTAAACTTCAACCTTAATTTAAATTCAAACTGTTTCCAAAAGGCTTTTATCATTAGCCACTCCGATTAATACAAATTATAATTAAGATGAAAGTCAGAAGACATTCACGTGCCTTCACGAATACGTCTCTGACTGTACCTTTAAAATTTGGTAAATACATACAAAAATATCAAAAACGAATCACACTGCATCACACGAAACAGGAGAGTGTAGGCGGATTAAAGGGAGGAAACTCGTACGTTCATCGCATGTAGCTTCGTATGGCCCGGCTAAGCCGTTTTCACCCGATAAACTCATTTGGGACAGAGTCGTCCGTAATACTGGACGATTGACCGCTATCTAACAATTAATTATAGATTTTGTCGTCATCTAGTTGTGATGACGTTATACTTGAGCCATTCGCTTATCGGCAAATTCACATAACCAGTGGTTGTAAAATAAATATAATTATTGAATATGGTACATTTATAGTTTTTGGTGCTTTTTGACTTAATTCATTTAAGGTAAACAATTACTGAATGTAACGTTCCTTGAAAACAATTTCATGGACACATTCTAAGTACGGCACCTAATTATGGTACTTCAATTGAATAACCATTTGATTTAAAGTGAAACAAACTATGTAAATATTGGTCAAATCTAAATATTTATCAACAGTAAATTCCACGTATTTACCACCGAGGCTGGTTCTAGTGCGTAACTATAATTGACTAGTTTTTGCTACTTAATTTACCGATAGAGACATGCACACAGAAAATATTCGGTACACAACACAGCTAACAACTCTATCATTATTACCTGACAGTAAGAACGAGTCTTAGAGACGAACAATATATATATATAAATAGAAACCCGGGGCTACATATGTATGCTCTAACAGCGCCGTAAGCTTTATAGCGGGGGGTATATACGTGTGTGTATACCTACAGACTCGGGAGGGGCACTTACTTCTACACATACTGTGCATAGCGATGTTGTTTACTCTGTGTATGTACGTGTGTGCCGCTCCGGACGGGGAAATCTGTTCTATTAGCCTTTGATGTGCTTCAAATATATACTTAACGTTCAGCACTAGAATCGGTCAGACATATTCTGTAAGTTCGTGTTACATTTGTGATGGGTTTTTTATTCTACGTCTCGGCAGTTCCGAGAATTTATACATAGTAGTGATGTTAGTCTGTTGATGGTGCTTACGGTCTGGTATCGAGCAGGTCTCTCGTGCGCGCGGATCGAAGCCTCGTATCGATCTTTGGCCTCCCGGTGTCACACAATATACCCCAGCGCTTGCTGTTGTCAGCGCTCGACATTAATATTCATGAAAATCGCTTTTCAGTTACGGAAAAGGGTGATTACAAAAGAACTGAACAACAGAGGCGCAGTAACTACAGCCGCTGAAGCAGTTAGAAGAGGTGTGTTGTGATCATGAGCCCCGTTGTCAGTGATGAACCGGTGTTGCTTTCCACACGGGTGCTTGTTCGGGAAAGCGTGAAGCTCGGGGAATAACCAACTAGGCATGTGGAGTCAACGAAGGCCGTATTCACTATTTACATGCAAATAGACCTCCTGCAGGTGTCACAGGCATATCGTGTATTTGGATGTACGCTATAGCAACGACATTTGGAACAGAACGGCACCGCTGCCAAGATGAAGGATCACGAGATAGCACCACGCGATGAACGGCGTTGACAGTCTTCTAGTTGTTAACAGAAATCTCGGCCAACTATTCCACTGTTGTCGTGAGGCAACCACTCTCCCGGAATATTGTGTTTAAGATAATATTTATTGTGTTGATTTATAAGTATGTCTATGTGTGTTATGAGTGATTTGGATTAAGCTTGACCATCGCAATGTCTGCAAACAACACTACGCTTGCTGGTCCCCAGTGTTTGGACGAACGACGCTGGTACACTTTTCTAGCGTCCAGTCTCGTCACGTTCGGTTTCGGTTTATACATCATTGTATGCTATAGAGTATTGTTGTTCTTTTTCTGTCGAGGACGGAAAAATGGCGGTGCTGCTAAAGTTTCAAATCACACTGGGCCGGTTCCGGTCCCCGGGGCGAAGAACGTGCCAGGTTTTATGAAAACCCCCGACCCTGAAATTGGATGGATGACGGAAGCGAAAGACTGGGCTGGGGAGCTGATCTCGGGGCAAACGACGACAGGGCGAATACTAGTAAGTGTAGAGACAATCTCTAATGACAATGTTGACATTTTTTGATAATTAAATAGCGCCCACTTATTGCATGTGTGGCCTAAGTTTTCCCCCAGTTACTGAAGTACATGTATATTATGTCATTTTGAGAACAGTTTTGCAAAGCGTAGTTAGCTTAACGAAAGCAAAATGTAAAATCAGGTTTGTTTATTTACAAAACAAGAAAAAGAAAAAAAAACCTCATCACTTAAACTACGTTCATAAATTGAAGATAAAAAAATTAATGTGTATACTATAAGAATACTGTTTTGAATATTTCCAAAAATCACATTTTGAAAATTTGCTTTACCGACCAGTTAAGCTAACCAGTCTGTGAACAACCGGGACCAGTATCTCGTTTCTTAGTATTGGTCAATGTAAGCGAGTCTTCTATGTTATGTACATTTCTATTGCATGGGTAGCTTTATAAAATAACAATGTATATATTATACTTGCATAAAGATTTGAAATATGCAATTCCTAATTTTTACCTAGCATAAGGAATACATAGTTATATCTTTGTTGCACCGACCGCTTCATAACCACGCACTAAAGCTTTTAGATTTGTTACATATACTGGGAATAGTTTTTTATAGAAGAAAACCTCGTTGTACTGTCGCCATATTTTGCCATGACGTTATGAAGGGATTTGGTGATATACCAAGGGAGACTTATGAAGGAATTGATAAGAAAAATAGAAAGAGACATTGATACATTTTGGCCGGTAAACGAGGTTGCAAATGAAACAAGGGAAATTTAATCGAGGTTTTACGGTTTTGCATAATAGTATATTTCGCTTACCATACTTCTCATAAATAAGAATAAATAATGAGCTTTTTAAATTATTTGTATGCGTGCGTTGAGGTGGTGAATATTCGGTTTCTATGACATCCTTTGTAGTTAAAGGCAGGTAAAGAACTGGATTTTTAATGCAATAAATACAGGTATACTGGTTTACCTGTTACATAACTTGACGTGATAATATTACGACATGATTATGTGCAGGGTACGGCTCGATGTAAAGTAGTTGAAAGATGTATGAAAACCCGCCTACAACGCTCTGGTTAAGCCAGATTATTTTATGATTTGGTCTTAAAACAACGCCTTGTTGTAACCAGGTTACCATCATATTCAGTTAGTCGTAAAGCGTCGCCTTGTTGTAGCCCAACTTTCATCTGGTTCTAAAACAACGCCCTGACATAATCCTATCATTTGGTCCTAAAACATCGCCATTGTGTTGCTCAGTATAATCGCATGATCTATAGTGTTAAGTGTATGGGCCATATGCACGGGAGTACTTCAGACCGTTAATTTAAGACACGAGTACCTTACCTGGCTGGACAGGAGATGAGCGGTAAAGTTACATTCTAGACATTATCGATGTTTCTGTGGTTACTGAGGGGTTACGTGAACCGAGTGTATCTGGTAATGCTACACCAGCAAATACATGTCTTCCTCGCTACCTTCTCCGTTCCATCCACTGCCCCCTCCTCGTTACCTTCTCCGTTCCATCCACTGCCCATCCTCGTTACCTTCTCCGTTCCATCCACTGCCCCCTCCTCGTTACCTTTTCCGTTCCATCCACTGCCCCCTCCTCGTTACATTCTCCGTTCCATCCACTGCCCCCTCGTTACTTTCTCCGTTCCATCCACTGCCCCCTCCTCGTTGCCTTTTCCGTTCCATCCGCTGCCCCCTCTTCGTTACTTTCTCCGTTCCATCCACTGCCCCCTCCTCGTTACCTTCTCCGTTCCATCCACTGCCCATCCTCGTTACCTTCTCCGTTCCATCCACTGCCCCCTCCTCGTTACCTTTTCCGTTCCATCCACTGCCCCCTCCTCGTTACATTCTCCGTTCCATCCACTGCCCCCTCGTTACTTTCTCCGTTCCATCCACTGCCCCCTCCTCGTT